GACCAGACCTCTCCAGAGACCACTTTTTTTTTTTAATGCAAACTCTGGGAGCTACCTCCACCCTCCAAACAGGAAATAGTTCATTGATGACTCAGAGGGTCTTTGGAAGGATGGATGGGTACACATAAGTGTCTGACATTTGGTACACGATGAGACACCTCAGAGTTGATGGGCCTGAAGGCTGAGGGGAGTCAAAATTTGTCTTCTTGTTTGCCTATACCATGAGAAACAGCCAGGCTGGACCCAGGCTGGTAGTTAGTGGCCTTGTAGTTTGTCGGCCTTCAATTGGGCTCCTTGAGTTTTTCCTGTGGTTAGTCTTAGACCATGTGCCTGAGCCATACAGGCTGGGGCCACTGTTTCCAAGTGTCCCACCCTGCTCTCTCACATGGACAAGGTAAGGACTCAAAATCATCATACCTAACGACTCAATAGCAAGTAGGCATTGGTCCTATTCTTAGCAACTCAGTTTCAAAAGCAAGCATATGTAAGAAAACAGTAATAGATAAATCACTTTCCCAGGTTGCCCTGCTCCACAGCCCTACTTGTAGAAGGGGACTGACTGGGAGCTTTCCTTCTACATTGTTCTGTTGTACCTGGGACCTGAGTTTCGTGCACCTTAGGGCATCAGGCTCTACCCTGGACAGCCCCTCTCATTTACACAGTGACTAGCTCCCTATGGACCCTCATCACCACACAGAAACACTTCAGTACCCCCTCTGCTCAGGCTCTCCCTGGACTCCCTCCACCTTTCCAGAGACCTTGGCTATAAATCTGACTGCATGCTATGGAACTCTAACCTCCCTTCAGCCCCTTAGCCCCCATAAAATTCTCAGGTCCAGCTCTCTGAGAAAGGCTAGCCTTCCAGCCTGGCCCCTCCCACTCAGTACTCCAGCCTCCCTTCTCTCCTTAGCCCCTCCCTATACACCTGTCCCTTCCTCCCCCTCCTCCCTGAATACCCCTCCTGTGTGAGTCACTGTCTCCTCAGTCCTCTCCCTACACTTTTGAGGTCTCCTTAGGCTGTGATGGAGTCACCAACCCATATGACCCAGGGCATCCCAGAGAGCCTGTCAGGTGGGAGCTAAATGTATATATTGTATAGTCAAATGAGAGCCAGAAGTCAAAAGGCCCAGAGAAAGCACTGACCGAGAAAACTGACCGCTTTCTCTCTTACATTCTTCCCCAGCTTCTGTGGACACAGAGCCAGGTCAGAAACTGAGCAGAACTTCAGCCCCCCCTTGCTTATGGACAGGCTCCATCGGCTCTTGGCTATGGGCTCCAATAGGAGTGCCAGGTCAACTTTTAAGAGAACTGTTGACAGGGGCTTGCTAATCCACCTTGCAATGGCAACCCCCCAATACTGGACTGTACTGGTGTTATTCAGGCCGCGAGGAATGCTGGCTCCCACCTTCCTTTACCCAGGACCAGGAACTGCTGACCCGGCTAAAGAATGTGCTTTGCTTGGTGTTAGCATTCCAGGATCAGCTTGGGAGGCCAAGGGCTTGAGTTGGCAGCAGAAACCAAACACAAGGTAGAGAGGTGGCACTGAAAGGACCCCCCTCCTGCCCTGGCATAATCTGGGTGCATATTCCTTGTCTATATTTCCTAGTCACTCGGGGTCTCCCCTGGATTGAGGCAGAACCAGCAGGAAGAAAATACTCTTTCAGTTTTGGGAAGGGGACATTTATATGAACTGAAGCTACCAGGCCCTGAGCCCTAGGGCACCTTTGCCGTAAGCCCCACCTTCTGGGGGAACCTAGAGCTCTATACAAAAACCATCTTCAAGTTCAGGGTTTCCTTAGACGAAGTAGACAGGGAAACTGAGTCACTGGTTCAGGTCATGTGACTAGCAGACAGAAGAACCCTGTCTCAGACTCCCACTCAGGCTGTTGTGTTCCTTGTTCCATTCACATCAACTGCCCATGCACCCAGCATCTAACCCAGGGCTCAGTGAAGGGGCATCAAGGTTGTGGGCACAGTGTGTTGATAACAGGGGAGACTTGTACTCGTCTTAGTCCATCATCAGTATTGGATCACTTGGGCTTGAGTGCCACCACACAGGGAAAGTACTTGGCATCTCAGGGGTGCACTAGGGGACTCCTATAACTTTTAACATCTGCCTAAATGCAGAGGACCCAGTTTTTTAATCCTCCAGAAGGGGAGTTACAGAACCTCAGAGACCAGGAAGAGGAAGTGGGACAAGGGGCCAAAAAGGAGGAAGCTCTTTGTGCTCTGTCATTAACAGTGAGGTGAGACATCCTTTACAAACCACTGACTGGAACCCCTACAATTTAAAACTAGCCAGACATCCACCCCTCAAACTCCCACAGCACCGTGTTTAGGAGCTTAAATATTAGCACATGGGGTAGTTAACAGGTCCTTCTTTTCCTCCCTTGGACAGCCTACCACTTTCCCCCAGCATAGTTTTAGAGTCGTAAGAAGTTTCAACAATCACTCATTAGCTCTGAGCTTATCTTCACTGTCCTCCTGCCTGGGCCAGATCCACGGAGCTCAAGTATCTGCTAAGTCCTTGTTGTACAGCCGCCCTGCTACACACTTGGATCCCCGCCAAAATTGGCGGAGGGGAGTTTGGGAAGATAGAAGGCCAGCAAAAGCCCAAGCAGACAGATAGGAAACCATTTGGTACTGAAGCAAGCTCATGAGAGAGACATGTGACATGTTTCATACATGAACACAGAACATCAGGAGACTGGGCAAACCAGACTCCTCACCCAACCAAATCAGGGTGGCAAACACTGCCATTTCCGGTGCCATCTGCATGACCCTGTAGGAGCAGGTTCTTCGTTTTTCTGTGTCTTAGCTTACTTACAGTGGGGATAGTCACATGCTGGTCCCTAGTGAGGGATGTGTTCACCAGGAAAGTCCAGCTAAGGCTGCCACATTCCTTGTAGGACTTGCTTGAGTCTTAGATTGTTTGTAGCTCACTAGCTCCATTTTGTATTTCCAGAAGTCATTTGGGCTCCACAAGGCAATGTAAAGGGGCACAGCCACGATGTCAGGCTGAGCAGGTTTATTTGCCTCCGGCTACGCTACTTCCTAGCTGGTGACACTATATCTAGGATGCTTAGAACTCGGACTGTCTCAACAAATGGTAGGTAGATTTCATTATAAGCACTGAGGCTAGTCAGTCAGCCCACAAGCCCGTCAATTCTCAGTTTGGCCAGAAGAGGGCAGATTTGAGCCAGACAACTCAATTTCCTTGCCTATAAACGTTTATCCAGACTCAACGAATTCACACCTCCTAGTTTTGGAAAGCCAGCTCTAACAGGCTCTTTCCTGTTCACACAATTCCACCAGCCGCTGAGAGGGCAAGGTCCACGCATCCAGGCCTTACCGTCCACCACAGGGCGGGGTTAAAAGGTGACTCAGGACCGTAACTCATCTGAGCTCTAAGGAAAAGGCAGTTTAATGACCAATGTCTCTGGCTGGAGGTGGGTGGTGTGCTGAGCCTGCAGCTGCTCTTCTCCCTGAGAAAAAGGGAGAAGTTGAGCATCTGTACCAGGACAGTCCCAGGGAGCAGACACTATGGGATCCTTATGGCTGTCATTTACACAGAGAGCATATCGATTGACTTTCTCTGCTCCTTTCCCTCTACACCCCTATTCCATGCCTGAGACTAATCTAAGTCTCACCCACCCTCAAGACCCCTCCCTTGAACTCCTGAGCCAAGTAAGACCCAATTTTTCTGCCCTATACCTGCACTCTGTACCACCTTGAAGGGCCTCTGCTTCCTAGCATAGATTATAGGGTAAACTGGGCACTTACCTTATTTCTCTTGTTAAACCGAAAATTTCCTGAGAGCGAGAAGCTAATTATTAGTCATCCCCCAAGATGTGCCTGACACCTGCCTTCCCCACCCTTCCCCATCCCTGCCCCCCAGCAGAGCCTTGCAGCCTCTCATCCGTGCTCCTGCCTACACCTTACACCTAGCACATGCCGTAGTATCTCGCTCTGAGGTGCTCCCGCATCCCACCCAGTCCCCAACATGTGGCACATTCAGACTACGGTGTGCAGGAGGACAGGAGCGGACACTTCTTCCCAGTAAGTACACAGATGGCTTATTTTCCTCAAGGGTCTTTAAGCAGTTAGCTGATGATTGGGTGTGAGGGTGAGAAGTGCCTCTTCTTAGGGCTGGAGTGTGAAGCAGATAGGACCAAGAGTGGCTCCCTACTCAGTCTAGACATCCCAGCACATCCTATACAAACATCTAAACCAAAGATTGGAGTCACTGAGCCACCTCCCAAGCCTCCCTTTATAGAATAAAAGTTGAGTTCCAGTACTTGGTTGCTCTATTCAGTAGCTCTTAAATAGTCTTGTTGTTGTTTATTTTGTTTGTGGGGCTACTTTGCCTGCATATATGTCTGTGTAGCACAAGTGTGCCTGGGGTCCTTGGAGCCCAGAAGAGACCACCAGACCCCTTAGAACAGGAGTTGTAGCTGGTTGTGGGCCAGAGTACCGGTGTTGTGAATTAAACCCTGGTCCTTTGGAAGGCAAAGCCAGTGCTCTTAACTGCTGAGCCGTCTCTCCAGCCCCTTTCAGTAGTTCTAATGGCCAGGTCTGTTTGTCTGCCTCCACTCTACATCCATTTTGGTCAGTGTGAATCCACTGGCATCTTGATCTGCTCAGCAGTACACCAGGTGTTGGAGATGTTTAAAAAATAGTGATACGCTTCTAGATCAAGTCTTTTTTGTTGTTGTTGTTTTGGTTTGGTTTGGTTTTTTGTTTGTTTTTCGAGACAGGGTTTCTCTGTGTAGTCCTGGCTGTCCTGGAACTTGCTCTGTAGACCAGGCTGGTCTCGAACTCACAGATTTCTGCCTGCCTCGGCCTCACAAGTGTTGGGATTAAAGGTGTGCACCACCATCTGTTTTAGATTAAGTCTAAAAGGGAATCTTGGGTTCCTCTGAATAACTGTTTATCTTATGAGAAAATCTTGATCCAGCTAGCTAATTGCCATTAGCCCTTCAGTCTCGGCTTTGAAAGCCCTGTTTTTAGGAAGAGCCTCCAAAAACTAGCCTCCTTTCTTCTGGAGCCCCCTCCAGTTCTCATGTCAGTCTCCCAGCCTGAGCCTGCTCTTCAGAGTCCAAATCGGTCTGGATGGGCCTCCAGGACCCGGCACACATTATCAATGTAGATCGCAGGTCAGATGAAACTTCTCCTGGGCCTTTTTACTTTCACAGATCACTCAGAATGGGAAGGCATGGTGGCAGAAGATAGGACGCCAAAACAGCTATACAGTTTGTGGGCAAAACAGATTCAGAGAGGGTGGTTCCTGGTGGATCTTTTCTGGCTGTAGAGGGCTCCAGGGAAACATGGTGATACCGGTCATTTCCCCTGGAAAGACTCAAAAGGTGAGCAGAAGTAGAAAAATGAGCAGATACTAGATTAAACAACAACAAAACTTGATAATTGAGGATGTGGTTCTGTCTGATTCTCTGCAAGCCCTGAAAACACAGCTGGAGATGAGGTGATGCAGAGGCGGGAGGATGGGCAAGTCCCCTTGTCCTATGTTCTCATCTCTAAAGGTTATCATCAGAATCCCAGCTCTGTGGCTTTCTTGCCAGCTGTGTGGCCTTTGGTAGAAGTACACTCACTCTCTACAACAGAAAAGAGGGCTCTGGACTTAGCCTTCCAGGTCTCTCTAATGGAGCAAAATCTCATACCCAACCACCTGCTCTTCTGGCTAAAAATCACAGGAAGAAACTCTGGGACCAGGAAGCGAGCTCCTTATAGATTTAGGGACACAGGGTAGTAAGTCCCTGGAGTGTGATGCACTTTTTTCAAGAATGAAAATCCATAAAGACGACCACTTCTTGAGGGAATCCACTCAACCCTATAAATCCTTTTGTTTTTCCCCAGAAGAGGTAAGGACTTGGCCTGTTGGATTCCCGAGTCCATTTAAAGTTGATGGAATCCAAGCAGCCGGGTGAACTTAGTTGCAGGGCAGCTAGCTCTCCACCCATGTTTAGCTGGAGTCAGCCCTCATCCCATTCCATCTCCTTATTCACTTTCTCCTTTATGTGCCTGAAAAGGTTATCAAATGGCTTTACAGATTTTTTTTTTCCTTGGGAGAAGCAAATTACTACGTGTGGAGAAAAACTTAGATCCTTCTAGTGCCCCTCAGATTGTCCCTTGACAACCCAGAAAACTGCACAATCGAACAGGTTGGCGCCATCTAGAGGCAAAAGCAATTCAGAGAGCCTTCAAAAGTAAGGACCAGCACTTCAGTAGTAATTCGGCTCAACCTCTTTTCTGGCATTCCGGGCCCTCGGGCCCAGGTGGGCGGGGCTCCATTCACACCTTTCCGCGCCTAGCCAAGGGGAGGAGGCGGGGCAGGAGCCAGTGAGCCAATGCCATAGGCCTTGGTCACGAGTCGCCGGCAAGCGGGCCAATGGGAGTAGGGGGCGTGGCCAGGGCCTTCCCCCTCCAAACGTTTTATAGCAATTTGGAACGCGAGGCTTTCCAGCGCGCTGGGGTACGGCTGTGACCTCTGAGCCCGAGGCTCTCCACGCGCTGCTGCTACCCGACCCCCTCCGCCTCGCCGTCCCGCACAATGGAGTCGGTGGCCTTCCCCCGGCGCGCGGGCCAGGCTCCATCAGCCTCCGCCCTGGCTACCGAGCGCGCCCGTGCGCTGGCGGACGGGCTCATCAAGTCGCCCAAACCCCTGATGAAGAAGCAGGCGGTGAAGCGGCACCATCACAAACACAACCTGCGACACCGCTACGAATTCTTGGAGACCCTGGGCAAGGGTACCTACGGGAAGGTGAAGAAGGCACGAGAGAGCTCGGGACGCCTGGTGAGTGCCCCTCGCAGCGCCCGGCTCCCGGGAGCTCACAGGGCGTCCCTCGCGGTGTCCTCGGTTGAGTTGCCTGGCGCGCGCATTTTAGATGTGTCTATCCCAGGTTTTCAGGGACAGTGCTCGTGGACCTGAGAACCTTAGCAGCACCAGATGCCTGTCGTTTGAGAAGATGGGGCTTAACTTGAATTTTCACTGGAACAAACTTCTACGGAGTAGAATGGAAGGAGGAAGTTGAAAGGACCAGATCTCAGTAGATGGATGAGGTGTGGAGAGATCGTTAACTGAATTGACACTTGGGTCCTTTCCAGCCGAGACTGAATCAAAGTTTCGTTATGATGGGCTTTGATTCTGGGAAATGTAAAACCAGGATCTGGTGCCGGGTCCACTGTATTTCGAAGCTTTTAGGGGAACTTGTCCAGTTGATTTCATGCGTGTGTAATCGCCATGGTAATCTGTAACTTTGAACAAGTTCCTTAATCTTTGTATTCTGTTTCCCCTTCTGCAAAAACAGAACACAGCCTATCTCACAAGCTGCTTGAGAAGGAGTGTGGGTCCTGATCACAGGTCTTGTACTGAGAATGGATGCTTATATCTGGAAAGCGATCCCCCCCCCCCCCAGGATAGCAAATCTACCAAAACTTACACAACAGTGGTTTTCCCACTCCAGTTCAGTGGGCCTAGGCAGTACTAGCTGGGTACTTGTTTAAAATGTCCAGTCTCTCATTTCCCACCAAGCAGAGTGTGTTATAAAGGTCTATAATTCATACTGTAGCAAGCCTCAGAGCAGGTGGTTTAGGGATTATGTTTTGCCAGATCCAGTGAGTGCTGGTTGTAAGGGTGTGTGTGTATGTGTGACCATAGTTTGCCCTATTGACTATGGCAGTGGTCCCCTCCCCTAATTGTTTGCTTTTGCAGCCAGTAGCTGGTTTGAAATTCAAGAAGTCATTTCATTGGTGAAGGAGAGTGGATGTTGGAGAAAGGAGTGGATTATGGCCCCATCAATAGGAGCAAGTATGTTTTTCCTGCTAAAGCCTGGCACAGTCCCCAGTTGCCTGCTGCCAGGTTACAGCTATTGGGCAATCGTGTACTTCCTGGCTTTCCTTTCTTTCTTTTTCTGTAAAGTGCCAGGGCCCTAGAGGCTCCAGGCTTGAGATAGCTGGGCCCAAGCTTTGTCAGGGGCTTAGCTTGAAAATAGTTGCTTGTGGCTTGTGGCTTGTGCCCTGTGTCTCTTGTTGTGGGAAAATTGGGTGGAGAGAACTAGAGTGGCCGAAAAACTGAGATCAAAGTTCAGAGATCCCATCAGCTCTTCACTGAGGTTACTGTCTTTTACACACACACACACACACACACACACACACACACACACACACACACAGAGAGAGAGAGAGACAGAGAGAGACAGAGAGACAGACACACACACACACAGAGAGAGAGAGACAGAGAGAGAGACAGAGACAGAGAGAGAGAGAGAGACAGACAGACACACACACACACAGAGAGAGAGAGAGAGAGAGAGAGAGAGAGAGAGAGAGATCACATTCAGGCCTCGATGGCTTTTACATCAAAACTGAGAGAATTCAGAAGGAACTCCCAGGTTCATGTGTCTTGCTGTGTGCAAGGAGCCAAGATCAGCAAATGTGAGGTCTACTCTGAAACTCCCCAACCAGACCACCCAGGATTGCTGTTGAGTGTTTGCTCAGGGTCCCCCCACTTTCTTGGAAAGCAACTCTCTGCTAATGATTTCTCAATCCTGGAGCAATGCCCTCACCCCCACCCATCCATCCCTATATCTTGACTGTTCTCCTTAAAGAGAGACCTGATGCTTCAGCTGTGTCAGTAGGGAAGAGGAACATGGGGTTGCTTATGTCTTCCCCAGATGAACTGAGGTTCGTGATGAGAGTTCAGTTCTCAGGGAAGCCTGCTGGGTGACGTCCATCTGGAATTGCTCACCACGTTTCTAGCCCACTTCCCACTCTCCACTTGCAGAGATGGTTAGGAGGGTCCCAAAGGGCTATCTTCAGGGAAGCCCGGGGAGGTGGGACTAACGACTGCTCCAGGATGGCATCAGAGGAAAAACAAATATTTGCTCTGGATCTCAGACACATTCCTGGTATCCAAATGACATTTCCTCCTGCTGAGTCTCCCAGCTCCCCTACCCAACCCCTCTCCCTAAAGAGAAAAACATATGCTGGGGCCCCACCAAAGCCTGTGGTCTTATCTGCATGGAAGTCTCCCTCACCTCTAAGGGGTGCCATGAGGGGCAGGAAGGGAGGAGCCTAAGCTGGTAGTTCTATGCTTCTGCTCCTTTTACATTTTCAGTTGCTTAGTGGGCTTCAAAACGTTGGGAAACAACCGAGAGAATCTGCTCCCTTAGTTGACAGATGAGGGAACTGAGGCCCAGGAAGGGGAAGTGATTTGTCTTTTAGCTGGGTAATGGCAGATCTGCAACATAAGCTCCAGACTTGTCCACCCTAGGTCTTGGATGACCAAGTGCTGAGTCTTGGTCTAGAAGTTAGCTTTGAGATGAGCCTGGGCTTGCCTGGCTGCTTTGTCATCCCATCAGCGAGCTCCAGCTGCCTCCCCAGCTCTCCAGGCAATATTTAGAGTGGGAGAAGTCACTGGGAACCCCCTTCTCAATACTGTGTTGAGGGACTGTGGGTGAAGGAACGACACTATATTCCTGTGTCTAATGGTGCTTCCCGTTGCTCACCAGATGCGTGACCTCTGTTCCTCAGTATCCTTATCTGTAAAATGGAGATTATAATAATTCCTGTGTCGTGGGTCTCTCCTAGGACTGAATAAGACAATATCTGTAAATCTTAGCACAGTATTTAACACACATTGGTTTTTTTTTATTTTTATTTATTTATTTTTTGCTTCAGGAAGGGTGGCGTTGGCCTAGGTTCTCCTATTCTGGGCCTCTCCTGCCCCAATGAGGAGCATGGGTTGTGTTCAGCCTTCTTGAGTTGACCCACTATGGTCTCTGCTTTGTTCAAAGCCCTCATCTCTCATTCAGCCAACTTCAGAGGACTCCTGCTGGCCTGCAGCCAAAGGCTTGTTGGGCAAGATGCTGCCCTCCCAGCTCCTCCTGCACCTGCCTGCTCAGCAACAAGGGAGGGAGGCTGCAGGCGACTCTTGTCCTTGGTCTCCAGCCAAACCACACAAAAGCACAGGGCAGGGAAACTCTTGCTCAGGAACCTGGCAGAGTGGGCTAGCAGGAGTCTAGGAGGAGGTGGCATTATATAGAATTAGGGGAGATGGTTCAAGTTACCCACAGAGCCTCTTCCTGATTCCTGTCTAGTTCTTGGTAGAATGGCACATCCCCACTGCTCAGCTGGCTGCCTAGTCTCACCTCTCCTGCACTATCTAAGTGGGTCATCATCCAGCTCCTTGCCTGCTTTCCAGACAGCATCTTCTCCATGAAAGGCCAGAGAGGAGTCAAGGATGTTGGCTATGACCAGAGATGCCCAACTTGTACCATCTCTCTCAGCACCCAGAACCAGCATCTCTACTCCCCACCCCCTTCTCCTAAACCTTTTTGATCACCTTCTGAAGACCGATCATTCATAATCTGAGCTCTGGGAGAGAGGAGGTATTTACCGATGGGGCCTCAGCACCACCTCCTTGGGGCATGTTTTAAGTGGGAAAGAATGGCACATACAATGCTGCCTATGGCAAGATCTGGATAGTCCCTTCTCCAGGGGTGGGAGGCAGGGCTGGACACCTCCGAGGAACTTTTGTTTTCAAGATACTAGTTTGTCCTCCATTGTGGTCCTGTCCTGTTCATGGAGGAACTTTGGAGAAGTTGGTTTATCTTTCTGAAGTGTTCACTGCTTGCAAATCAGGTTGGGGAATTAGCTTTCCTGCCTTTACCAACTTGCAGAACTTCAGAGACAAGAAAATTCACTGCTAGCTGGGCGTTGGTGGCACACGCTTTTAATCCCAGCACTGGGGAGGCAGAGGCAGGAGGAACCCAGCCTGGTCTACAAGAGCTAGTTCTAGGCCTCCAAAAGCCACAGAGAAACCCTGTCTCGAAAAACAAAAAAAAACAACAACAAAAAAAGAAAATTCACTGGGATGATTTCAGCAGGAATTATGCTCTGGCATTTAACATGGCCAAGTGTGGTGGCTTTGCATCAGCCCTTGTATGGCACCTTCCTGACACTGCAATGACCCATTTCTGAAGAAGCGCTACACAGAATACTGGATCATGGAAGGGAACTTAGAGCTCCACCCTGATCTGCCTGGAATGTTCTTCTTGCCCTTTCCTAGCCTACTGTATTAGCTGAAAACCTCATCTATCCTTCCAGACGTGAAACGGTTTGCTCCTGGGCTGGTTTCCCATGCTCTCCAGAGTAAAGAAAGTCATTTGTGTTCCCCAAGCTCTTCCACAAGTGAGGACATTAAAACTAGACAGCCCAGTAGTGGAGAGATAGCTCAGCAGTTAAGAGCACTTGCTGCTCTTGCAGAGGACCTGAGTTTGGGTTCCAACATATGTGGCTAATCAGAACCATCTGTAACTTCAATTTCGGGGGATCCAGGGCCCTCTTCTCACTTCCATGGGCATTGGATGCATGTGGTACATATACATGGCAGGTAGGCAAAACACCCATTTGCATAAAATAAAAATAAATTAATCAAATAAACAAACTAGACAACCCAGTTAGCCAGATTATCCTAATTTTATGTGCCTTGAGTTGCATGGCTTGAGACAGACAAGTGTGAATCGGGCTCCTGGGTTCATAGGGTCCACTTGACTGGCCGTGTGTTCCTATAAAGGATCATCATTGGGCTGGTTTATCCTTCTTCTGCCTCAGAGTGTGGTGGACATATAATAAATTGATTAGATATGGGTAATCTTCAGAGTAAAAGGGACGGTGTAAATAATTGTGTCAGGGAGCTGAAATGATGGCTCCGTGATTAAGAGTACTTGTTGCTCTTCCAGAGGACCCAGTTTGAATTCCCAGTACCTACACTGTGGTTCACAACCATCCATAACTCCAGTTCTAGGGAACCTGACGCCCTCTTCTGACCTCCCTGGGACCAGGCTCACACATGGTGCACATGCATATACATGCAAACAAAACATGCAGACACAAAAGTAATAAGTTTACTACACTAGAAAAATATAATATATCAGGACAAACAAAGACCCTGGCATGTGGCCATCCTCCCTCTGGGTCTGGGTACCTGTCTTTAGTTTGTACCCTCTTCCTAGGCGGTAGTCAGTTTATTTTTGTCCTAAGGCACAGTTGCCAATTACCTTGCAGGGTTGAACAAAGGTCCCCAGAAAATAGTTCTTGTAACTGAGGTGGACTCCACCCAGGCCTGAGAGGGAAGGGATCGGGGAAACCCTATCTGGTCGCTGTTTCCGTCAGGCAAAGATCACCCAGGTACTTAGCCAATAGGTATGTGTAATGAGTGTTCGCTAGTGTATAGGTGTTAAAGACTCTTTGCACACAGGGCCCTTTCTTGCCTAGAGTGGTACTATATCTAATTTACTTCGACATACTAGGGCTGGGAGAGTTTGGAAACAGTGGCCTAGCCCCACCAAGGCAGTGCTAAATCAGTCCTAGTCTGTCACCGTTTGGGGGACTCATGGAGGACTGATACCATGTCTTTTTCCTAGGAAGTGCTATACAGGATCTCTTAGGACCCACTGTGGATAACTAGGGGTTCAGCAACCTACTCCTCGCCCCTCTCATGTCTTGCAGGAGATTGAAACTGGGAAGCAAATTAGAATTTCAGGCCTTCTAAGGTTAGAAGAAATGGGCCTTGAGGTTTTACTTGTGTGCCCACTGGCCATACCAAATATTCCTAGCACCCTCTAAATCTTTTTGGAAACTCCTTTCTTTTAACTCTTACTGCTTTTAGGGCTGTGTCCCTAAGCCTGTGGTGTCATCTCAGTATTCCATACACTTGTGTTTACACAACTGTGCACCTAACACCTGCCTAGTCTTTGCCTGGGTGCATTTTCAGCTCTCAGGCATTTGTAGTTGTCTAGATAGTGATGTGTGTGTTTACATATGACTGTTTCTCCTGCCTACTAATATATTTTTATTTAGAGACAGATCTTTGTCTCTAAAGAGTTAATAGCCCTTTACTCATTGTCTGGTTTTTACGAACAAAGACTTACAGAGGAGAGAGCAAGCTAGGCAATCTCCCCTTCAGGGTGAGAAAGTGATGTGGAGAAGAGGGGTGTGGGAGTATTGCTCAGTGTTGAATGCAGGAGAGGTGTCTCCTAGTTGAAGGAATATTCAAGGCCTGTGCCCTGCTCCCCTGTTCTGCCCTGGGAGAGATGAGTGGAGTTAGAGCAGCCGGTTGCAGCAGCCGGGTGCTCACATCTGCAGCATCCCCCTGCATTGGGCCTCTCGGGGATGAGGCTCCATGGTGACCATCTGCCATTGTCCTCCCTACCCTGCTCCGGGGAGGGTGAGAATGGGGCCTGCCCCCTTTCAGCACTGCTGCTTTAGGGCAGGATGGGGTGGAGGGCACGCCATCCATGGCCCGTTGCCGGGGAGACGGGGCTGTGGGCATTGTGAGCAACTCCTCTGACAGGATTAGGGCTATTCCACATTCTTGTCAGTGGGGAGCACAAGCCCAAAGAGCCTGCTGTCCCGAGAGCAGAAGCCATTGTCTACCTCCAGAGCCCATGAAAGGGTGGATTAGAGCCCCACCCCTTGGGCTGGGGTTTCCTTTCTGTCTCCTTTTGAATCCAGAGGGGAGGCCGGTCCTCCTGGGAAATTGAATGAGGAGCTGTTTACCTCAGTCTGGGCCTTCATATTTCTCATTACTTGTGTGAAGAGGAAGTCTTGTGTTTACCACTCTGTTGGTGTCCTTGGACGGAACTTGCCAGGAACTGACTGGCTTGGGACACCCAACCCTCACCCAGACTCTGAGGGCCCCTGGCTTGTGTACAGCTCACTTCTCAGACTCGGAGCAGCAAAGCACCCCCAGACTAAGTGCAGTCAGTTTTGCTCACAGAAAGGCAGCTGAGGCTCTGAGAGGGTGGGACTTGCCAAAAGCCACCAGAACAGAACCTGAGATTCAGGCACCCTGGGTCCTGGCTCTATGGCTTCCCATTAGTCACTCTGGCTATGCCTCATCCTAGAGCCACTACTGAATGCTGTGGATCAGGGAGACTGAGGCTCCTAGGTGTTGAGCTGTAGCTCCTCTGGTTGCTCTGTACCCACCCTTCCTGAGGCCACCACACACCAGCTGGAAGGGTTAGTCATTGCATGTCCCACCTTCACAGAGTAAGACACCAAATCCCAGGGGACTGTCTATCTAGTTGTTTGTTTACTTGTTGGGAAGGAAGGGACATTCCTTACCTGGACTTCAAAGTCTGTTCTGTGGAGAGTGGTTCCTTTGTTTTTTTGGTGACCTTTTTAATTATGGAAAAATAGATGTATAAAAAGTTCCCATTTTAACTACTTTTATGTGTATAATTCACTAGCATATTGAATATATCCACAATATTGTAAATCATCACAGTATAAAATAGCTTTCTTTTTAAATTTTTTGTATGTAATGTGTATGGGCATCTTCTCTGAGTGTGTTTGTGCAACTATCTGCAAAGGGCATCTGATCCCTCGGAACTAGATTGTGAGCTACCATGTGGGTGCTGGGAACCAAACTCACATCCTTTGGAAGCCAGTGCTCTTACTGAGACATCGCTCTAGACCTCTAAAACCTTTTTTTTTTTTTTTTTTTTTTTTTGTCATCCCAAATAGAAGCGCTGTGGCCATTAAATAATAACGCCCTCACCCTCTACCCACCCACCCAATGCCACCCTTTAGCCCTATATTCCTGGTAACTTTTGATCTATTTTCTGTCCATACAGTTGTTTGTTTTAGTACCTCATGAAAGTGGATCACATATTTATCACTCTGTGTGACTAGTTTATTTCACTGAGTATGCTTTCACGGTTCAGCCATGTTATAGTAGGTATCAGAATTCCATTCCTTTTTCTGACTGATTAATACCAAATTTTGTCTAGCCATTCGCCTGTTGATAGGCATTTGGGTTGTAATTTTGGGCTACCAAATGGTTGTTTATAGCAAACTGGAGTTCGGGACAGAAAAAGGACTAAACTCAGAATCAGGTTGCCCGTTGCACTAGTCAGTGGCTGTGGCTTTAAGGAAAGCACTTAGCCTCTTGGGTTCCAGTTACTTCACTTGTGAAAGAGTAAGGATGCTTTCTTTACCTAATTCCCAGAGTTGTGAGGACCAGTTTGTTTACTACTGCAGTAAGTTACTAACACAGAAGTATTCACTTCTAATGTGTGCCAGATCCTTGTCCTTAGGGTGTAATGTATGTATTTGATTTGTAAATCCCAAAGTGTCAAACCTCACAGGTGTAGGTTGTTATGTTTCTTGTTCATTGGTAGACTTTGAAAATGAGGCCATTGGTCAGTGCTGCTTCCTCTTGCATGGACTGCACTGGACCCAAGTGAGAACCTTTTCTAGACAAGGCCATCTCCAGGTTCCTGTCACCTGCTCTGGTAAAGGGGGGTGGCTTCTCTTGGTGCATTCTGTGGTTTGAGTTGCAGCTGCAGGCAGAGTACCAGGGTCAGGGATGTCTCTGCCTGCTAGATCTTTCTCCTTAATCTTGGGCATCCTCTTTTCCTAGGTGGCCATCAAGTCAATCCGGAAAGACAAAATCAAAGATGAGCAGGATCTGTTGCATATAAGGAGGGAGATTGAAATCATGTCATCACTCAACCATCCGCACATCATTGCCATTCATGAAGGTATAATTGTGGGACATTTGGAACTGGGAGTCATGGATCTGTCTCTGTCTGTGTGTGTGTGTGTGTGTGTGTGTGTGTGTGTGTGTGTGTGTGTAGAAGTCAGAACTGCCAACAACACGAACCCACTGGTACATGCCTGTAATCCATCTGTGATGCCTGTAACCCCAGCCCCAGGAGGCTTAAGACAGGAGGAATATAAATTCGAGGCCAGCCTAAGCTGCATAACAGGACCCTCCCTTTAAGTAAATACATAACTTAAACAAATAATGGTCTTTTAAAAAAGAAGAAGTAAGAATGATAAAGGCTTTTGAGTTGCAAAAGCTAGATTCAAAACCTTGTCACATGACACTGAACACTCATTAAGAACTGGGCATTAGTTCCCCTTTGCAAAATGGAATAGTCCCATTTATATCAAAGGGTGGTTGCAAAAATCCAGCTGTATGAGTACTCTGTAAGTGGAAAAGCTGTAGGTTTGTTTGTGTGTTTGTAGCATGGCTGGGGGTCCTACCTAGAATCCCATAGCACTTGCTAGGTAAATGCTATAAATTGAGCTGCCTACTCACCCCAGACTGCAAACTTTTTGTCCTTGTTATTGAGTTTTTCCCTAATAGCACTGCCTTCCAACCCCATGAGATCCTTAGCAACCCCGGGAAGGCTGAAATGTCAGAGTCTGCACCTGTCTCGGGTGTGTGGGTGCTGTTCATCACTCGTCTGTTAGCCAGGTCTCCTAGTCCTCCTGTGCCCCCCAAATCACCCCTGCCATGGGCTCACTCTACCTTTTCTTGTCTCTCTTGGCCTTCTCTCCTCTGGTATCAGTCTGGCTTGATCACTCTGGCTGCCCTCCTCCCTGTGGCCCAGACAACAAAGTGAGCAGGAGAGGGTGACGAGGGAAGAAGGGAGAACACCCACCCACATTCACCTGTCTGCTTCAAGTCTTTATGTAACATCAGCTAAATGAGATCACGGGGACAGCAGGAGGAGAGAAGTGGGGAGGGAGGGGAGGAAGAGAGCCTGAGGATTTGTCTAGAGTGTTTTTTCTGTATGAAGATTCCTGGTGGGAAGAACAGAGATGTCTCTACTCTTGGGTTCATAGGAATGATAAAGGGCAAAGCTATTGTTATGACCCTGTGGCTTGAGCCTGTCCTATGAGGAGCCCAGACAAACAAATGGCTGAAAAGGCTAATTGTATTTCTCTTTTCTTCCCTCTGGGAGTAGTGGGCAGCCCAAGCTTGGTGATTGGCTGTGTGTGTGTGTGTGTGTGTGTGTGTGTGTGTGTGTGTGTGTGTGTTGATGGTGCAGACACAGGGCATTAATGTTACTGGGTGTGTGAAGGGTTCCTCCAGATTCATCTTTATCTTTCTATAGGGCTTTAGGTGTTTGGGGCTGGGGGAACGCTGGGACGGATTTCTAATCTAAATGTTCCCCCAGATGCACGGTGCTGGCTCTTTATCTTTGTTTCCTAGCATAAAGGTTGCTTATAAACTGAGACTCACATGAGTGGAGTCTCAGTCAGGCACCCTTAAGAGCCTGGGTCACCCTGTTCACCTGCAAAACAACACTACAAGCCTTCTTCTGGCCCTGTAGCTGACATCAGGGAGTGGGGACTCATCTTAGAGGCTAGACAGCAATAGCTCTGGGGCTGGCCAAGCAAGCCAAACTCATAGGACCCGTTTAACACAAGGTGCAATGTCATAGACAAGCATGTTCTGACAGCAGCTGAAGGGCCAGTTTGATGAGCCAGTTCTTTTCTACTTTTCTGGAGGACTGGAGCCAGGACACAGCCTGGAGTGGTGAGACAGCCCCTCCTACACATGGAGATGGGCTAACTGGGGTGGGCTGACTGCCAAGAAGCCAGACAGCCAATTAATTACCCCATATTTATAGATTACCTCTGTGTTTGAGGCCATGTGCACTCTGACCACATCCTGGGTACTCCGAATGGCAAGTCAGGAGTGAGGACTGTCTTAACTCCCACTGTCACAAGGCGGGTCTCAGTTTTTAGAATTAGACACGAGGACACTGAATATAGCAATAGGTTCCATTTTCTGAGCACTTTCTTGTGTGTCAGATACTTGTCACTGATTGCCTACCTGTTTCTTACCCAGTCCTGTGAGGTTGCTCTCAAAGGAGGAAACACAGCGGCATGAAAATGTGTTGAAGTACGGCCAGTAACTCTGATAGATCTGGTAGAGATTTGACTAAGGTCATAAGATGAAGAAGTATAGGGTCAGAATCAAAGAGCCCTGCTTTTTATTTCTAGCAGTGCGATCTTTGCCCGCCTGGAAGTTTGCAGAGTTCTTGAAGACCTAAACTTAGCCACTGACCTCAGGTCTTGATTTGCTGGTCCTAGAAGATGCTGAACCTTGGAGCCTCTTCTCCTACCCTTATTTGCTGCCCTGAGGCCCCTGGCCCTGTGGCAGATATTCCAGAGGGAGGTCCTATCTGGGTTCAGGCTATGGAAGAGACTGTGGCCCATGGTGGGACAGTGTTCTCTGGGAGGCCTGACATTCTCATTTCCCCTCTCCAGTGTTTGAGAATAGCAGCAAGATTGTGATTGTCATGGAGTATGCCAGCCGGGGTGATCTGTATGATTACATCAGTGAGCGGCCACGGCTGAGTGAGCGGGACGCCAGGCATTTCTTCCGACAGATTGTCTCCGCCCTGCACTACTGCCACCAGGCAAGTACCCACCAGGCAAGGTGTCTCTGGGGCTCTAAGGCTGGTTTAGACCAGAAAGGCTTCAGGACTCTCAGACCAAGGAATGCTGGTATCTTTGGCTTTGTTCTCTTGATCATGGAAGGGCCTATGATTTCCTCAACTATGTCAGTGAATTTATGTGCTCCAGCTTGCCTGGTCTCAATTCTGTTAATTCAGTTTTCTAGACTAGGTCCCTTGTCCCCTTCCCTTTCCTGGTGATGTTTCCTGACTCGGTTTCCCTTCCCCTTTTAGAACGGGGTTGTTCACCGAGATCTCAAGCTGGAGAACATCCTTCTAGATGCCAATGGAAATATCAAGGTAAGCATTACTCCTGGTTTCTAGAAGCTTCTCTGTCCCACCCTAAGTTTTCTGTTCTGTCTCCAGTCAAGCAGCTCTGAGTGCTTAGGGGTCCCTGAAGTTAAGCTAAACAAACCCTGGACCTCAGTCATCATCCACCCCAATACTTCCTTATGGACGGGACACTGAGCCCCAAAAGGAAGATCCCCCACTAGTGACTGGCGGGGGGGGGGGGGGGGTTAGTTAGGCAGGAATTGAAACAAAGTCTCTCCCTTTCAGGTCAGTGTCTTTCTAATGTCACAAGGGTGGCAAGGGGCTAATCTAGGGTCAATTTTTTACTGATAACTTTGGGATGACAGGTACCGAGCCTCTTTCCCCTTGCTTGCTTGTGTGCTTGTACATAGACCTGCAAACACAGCCTAATTTTCTTCAGTCGAGACACCCTATAGCTTCTTTCACTTTCTGTTTCCCACAACTGCTGGATTCCCATGCTGCTGCAGCTAGATTTATGTCAGTCAGAATTTCATGCCAAGGAGATAAACTAGGGTCTCAAGGCCGAAAGGGAAAGATGGCAGTTGCTGACTTTGGTGACAGAATAGCCTGGCAAACAACTGGGAGAGTGACATAATCTGACCCTGCTTGGAATTTACTTGACACAGGACAAAGGTCACTCGATGGCTGCTGACCTGTGTGTCCTGAGATATCCTGGTACTAAGTCTGTTGCCCTTATCCAGCCAGTTCCTGACGCAGGTCGGGTTTCTTTGATGCTGACAGGAAAGAGAGGCCAGAGCCTGTAAACACACATGAACTAGACAAGCACAGAGGTTCTGCTGGTACCAATCATCAACATTATTATAGGCTCACCTGGCAACTGCTTGATAAGACGCCAATAAAGCTATAAACAAAGGAGCCAAAGTTTCATAAATAGGCCTCTCCACCCTGCACACATGACCCTTTGATGGGGGTGAAGGGTCAGATAACTCCAGGGTCTTGGCCTCCACCTCTAGCTGAGGATAGATAGGAAAGAGGATAGCCTTAGAACCTCTCAGGCCACTAAAATCAGACATCCCAGGGATCCTCCTGGGCTGTGAACAGCCCTGTCCTCTCCCCTCCCCTCCCCTCCCCTTCCCACTCCTCTCCCTTCCTTTCCTCCTCTCTCCCCTCCTCTCCATCTCAGCTATACATGTCCACCCTGGGCTCCTGTCCAGATATGGATGGAGATAAGTCTTTTGCTCAGAAGGTCATCTCAGGCTTCACATGGTCACTGTGTCAGGTCCCTTGCTTGCCCATTGAGGGCCTTAGAGCACTGTCTTTCAAGACCTGAGCTATAAGATGTGGGTTGGGAGTCCCTCCCCTTCTACCAGGGCCTGACTTTCCCCAGGATCTGGAGAGATGATGGCCAAGAGCTATGAACAACCCAACCTTTGGCATGACCTGTGCTTGTTCCAACCCTATAGATTGCTGATTTTGGCCTCTCCAACCTGTACCACAAAGGCAAGTTCCTCCAGACATTCTGTGGGAGCCCTCTCTATGCATCACCTGAGATTGTCAATGGGAAGCCCTATGTGGGCCCAGAGGTAAGAGCTGTGCTCCTGCTAGCATCCCTTAGTCCAGGTCAGGCAGGTTGAGCTAGTTGTTAGGTTCATCCTTTTTCAGAGCACAAAACTAAGGCCCCTACAAGGCAATGATTTGCCAAGCCTTGAGACAGTAGAAAGCTGTCATAGAACTGAGGTCTCCTGGTATCCTGTCTCCTTCTTGTCCCCTGTTTCTCATCACTTCCTGGCACTCAGTCTAGCCACCCCACCTTGACCCAGAATGATGGCGATGTCCTGGCCACTGCTCCTATGCTTGTGACTGACCCTCCCAGGGGAAGTGACTGGCAGTATCTGTTCTTATGAGATCCTGACCCCTCTGCTGCCTCCCCTACCTCACCTCTGATTACAAGGTGAGGTAAGAGGAAGCCTCCAGATATCTCCTTCACATCGACCGTTGTGTTGGAGATATGGATGGCAGCCCTCCCGTCTGCGCCACAAGTTGTGTCTTTGCTGAGCATCCCTGCCCTGTCTTTCAGGTGGATAGCTGGTCTCTGGGAGTTCTCCTATACATTCTGGTGCATGGCACCATGCCCTTTGATGGGCAGGATCATAAAACACTGGTGAAGCAAATCAGCAGTGGGGCTTACCGTGAGCCCCCCAAGCCGTCTGGTGAGTGAGATCTGTGACAAGGCTGGGAGCATGGGGTGCACTGTCACAGTCCTTGATTCCTGAGACAGTGACTAGACATTGGTGATAAGGAAGGCAGAAGTCCATAGAGACCCCCTCTTCCCCCAGGGAAGATTAGGGTGCACCCCACTGTTGTCTCCAGTCTGAGACCTCTGAGGAAGGGGACAGCCTTCTTTATTATAAGCTTGCTTTAGAAGTGCTTTCGAGCTGGGCGTTGGTGGTGCACACCTTTAATCCCAGCACTTGGGAGGCAGAGGCAGGCAGATCTCTGTGAGTTCGAGGCCAGCCTGGTCTCCAGAGCGAGTGCCAGGATAGGCTCCAAAGCTACACAGAGAAACCCTGTCTCGAAAAACAAAAAACAAAACAAAAAACAAAAAAAAACAAAGAAGTGCTTTCGAAGCCCCAGCTTAATCCTTTTTGCTATAGTTGTATTGCCTTTTTCCTTCTCCTAAGAAATCTGACCTTTTGCATATGATACAGAGAGCAGGAAGATGTGTTCAAGAGCCTTATCCTTAAGCACAGTCCCTGTCCTCAGAGAATTGAATTTTGGTAGAGAAAGAAAATACTGACATAGAAACAAGGGCTGATAAAGAGAGCTTGTGGGACTGAGTCTGTCCAGGAAAGTTGCCCTAGAAAGTGGGCCTGAACCTGTATAGAGCCCAAGGAGAGAATGTACTGATCTAACTCAGAAACATGAGCAGTACCTGCATGAGACAGGCCTGTGCTAGAGGACTTTGGGTCCCATTCTTGTCCTATCAAACTGAAGCCCTTGCTTTTGTTTTTACAGATGCCTGTGGCCTGATCCGGTGGCTGTTAATGGTGAACCCCACCCGACGGGCCACACTGGAGGATGTAGCCAGTCACTGGTGGGTCAACTGGGGCTATACCACCAGAGTTGGGGAACAGGAAGCTCTGCGTGAGAGTGGGCACCTTGGTGGTGACTCTGGCCGGGCCTCCATGGCCGACTGGCTACGACGCTCCTCCCGCCCCCTCCTGGAGAACGGGGCCAAGGTGTGCAGCTTCTTCAAACAGCATGTGCCAGGAGGTGGAAGCACTGTTCCTGGGCTGGAACGACAACATTCTCTTAAGAAGTCCCGTAAAGAGAACGACATGGCTCAGACTCTGCAGGGTGACCCAGCTGAGGACACCGCCCCTCGTCCCGGCAAGAGCAGCCTCAAGCTACCAAAAAGCATTCTCAAGAAAAAGGCCTCTACCTCCTCAGGGGTGGTACAGGAGGACCCTCAGGAACTCAGCCCAGTGCCTGATACCCCGGGGCAGCCTGTCCCTGCTGTAGCCCTACTCCCGAGGAAGGGCATCCTCAAGAAGTCTCGGCAGCGTGAGTCTGGCTACTACTCCTCTCCAGAGCCCAGTGAGTCAGGGGAACTCTTAGACGCTGCTGGTGATGTGTTTGTGAATGGGGACCCCGTGGAGCAGAAGTCTTCACAAGCTGCAGGGCACCTCCTGCACCGAAAGGGCATTCTCAAACTCAATGGCAAGTTCTCGAGCACAGCCTTAGAGAGCACCACCCCGAGCACTTTTGGCTCCCTGGACCAACTGGCCTCCCCTCACCCTGTAACCCGGGCCAGCCGCCCCTCAGGGGCTGTGAGTGAGGACAGCATCCTGTCTTCCGAGTCCTTTGACCAATTGGACTTGCCTGACCGGCTCCCTGAAACCCCACTGAGGGGCTGTGTATCTGTGGACAACCTGAGGGGGCTTGAGCAGCCGCCCTCAGAAGGCCTGAGGCGATGGTGGCAGGAGCCCCTGGGCGATAGCTGCTTTTCTCTGACAGACTGCCAAGAGGTGACAGCAGCCTACCGACAAGCCCTAGGAATCTGTTCAAAGCTCAGCTGAAGATGCGAGGTAGTGCCCTAGTTTGGGGTGAGCTCTGAGAGGGTTTGCAGAGGAACCCTAGATAGGATTCCTGGGAAAACTGGGGGAGCAAAAGTGTATCAAGGGCTCCATGACTTCAGCCCGATGAAGCAGGGAGATGAGGAAGGAAATGATACTGATGTGTGTGAGTGTGGCAGGGGACCCACCGAACCAAGGCTGCCAGGATGTGTTAGTGGGGCCACGGAGACCTGAAGAGCACTCAGTCCGTGCCTACCTCCTCTATGCCATGAGTATTACCCATGGTGCATTTTCCTACCTGTTCTTTGCCAGTGTCAGGGTGAATCTTCATACAAGTTCCTGTTTCCACCAACCACCAGAGTTGGAACCCTGACATGCGTGGGGTATTCTGGAGTAACCTTGCCTCCGTTATTGAAAGAGGAAGCAGCCTCTTGTTCCCATCTCCCACGCCCCAGCCACCCAGTGTCCCTCCCTGCTGTGGATCTCAGAGACCTGAAAAGACTCAGGCTGCTGTTTGGCTTCATCTCAGGGGACCAGATGCCTCTGGACCCCACCTCAGACCTCAAAGACTTGAGCTTCTGCCTTGAAGCTGCTCCTGATATCTAGACTGTGGATGGATGTGTCTATTTCTCAGGCTAACAGGACCTAGAATGTGCTGATTTATTTATTTTTTTGGCTCTCTCTCTCTCTCTCTCTCTCTCTCTCTCTCCCCCTCTCTCTCTGTGAATTGTGCTGCTTTCAGTAATGTGAATGCTGTGTTCCCAGGAAAGCTACTGTGCCATTGACATCTATGTACAGAAGTGTTTGGCAATGATGTACCTCCAATGGTGGGGAGTGTGGGGCTGGCTTTTTCAAACTTAGGTCCTGAGCACTGGATTGGCTGTCTGAGCCCTTCACACCGGAGGCTGTCCACCCTCCCGAATCTGTGGCCAAATAAACCTCAGTCCATTAAAACCAGCATGGTGACTGGAAAAACAATCTCCTGTTCTCTTTGTGAGATGTCGTTCACATCTTCAGGCCTTCTGATACTTTCCTCTTGGGCTGCCACAGGTGCAACGCAGACTCTGTTTAGTCTTTGGAGGTGCGGCTGTGTGGTCCGGATTTTGTTTAATGTGTACTCTCAGTCCCTAGAAAAAGAATAAAATAAAACAAAAAACCCTCTTCAAAGCACCCAGTCCACCTGCTTGGGCCTGACCCTGATAAGCATTCCGGAAGAAAAGCTTTGGCCCAGGGTCCCGGGTTTTTCTCTCCTTCCCTAGTACTCACGGAAGAAATAGGTCAGGTGAATTTGTCCGGCTGATTCCCTTCCCCAGCCCCGCCCCCCTCATGCTGCTCCCCTCCCCCCTTCAGGCCCTGCTGCCTGAAGACTATCCCACAGTTTTTATTCCCTCTAAAGAAATTCCTTTTTCTCCAGTACTGGACAGCTTCTTGCCAGGCCCTCGCTCCCGACTCTGGAAGGAAGTGAAGAATGCTTGGAATGTCCACCCTCCCTGGACAGTCCCTCAGCCCCCTACAGAGCTGTCCCAGCAGCCTGTTCCATTGAGAAACTGCTGGCCTCTGGGACTGGTTGACAGGGAGGACAGAGGACAAAGTGCAGGCAAGCAGCTGGTTGGCTTCGGTTCCAAGCCGGCCCTCTCCCCACCCCCACCTCTGACACACTCTGGTATTCACCCCCTAGTCTCCCAGTTCTAGCTGGCTCCAGTTTTCCAGCTAGACAACCCACCTGTCCTCCCAGTGTGGGGCATTTGCCAGATGAAGACTTGGGCCTCCTTCATACCTAGAGAAAGGTCACAGCGTGGGTACGGACGACACAGGGAGGGCTGGGCCACTATGGGGTTAAGATAGGATAGTC